AGTATATTGTTTGCAAGCACAGGGACCATGTTCAGTCCCCGGGGTATAGTGGAATATGCTTGTAATCCTAATCTGGGAGCATTTCTGGATTCCCTAGCCAGGCAGTCTAGCCTAATTGGTGAGAGCCAGGCTGTCTCAGAGGAGGTGTAGCTCCTTTGGCCTCCATTCATGTGTGGATAGAGGAGCATATGCACCTGTACACATACATGTACCCCCCCCCCACATACACACAAATGTAACACACAGAAAAATTACTTTAACCATTCTGATTGTATCCATTACTGATTGCACTCTTAGAAAACACACAAAAGAAGCCTCAGAGAGAATTCCTATGATGTAGACTATGTGTGCTCAAAACTTAGTAACAATAAAAAAGCTTCCGTGCATTTGGGTATTGAAAGCTTCATTGATGAGAACAAATTCCTAAAACAGAATTGCTGGACAAAACTGATTCCAGATGGAGCAGAAAACCCCAATAGTTGGGAAGGCTGAGGCATGAGTATTGGGAGTTTGAGGCCATCCACAGCAAATATCAAAGCCTTGTCTCATAGAAGGAAAGGAGACCAGAGCAGAGTGGGAGTGGCATGGGGGTGGGGGCACAAAGGACACTGAATTAGTATCCTTATCTTTCTTCATAGGACACTGTCAGGCCTGCCTGGATGACTTTTGTGACTAAACATTCAAATAAAAGATAAATAGAAAATTTCTCAGACTCCAGAAAAACTAAAAAGCATTTTTACTTTATTTTTCAGGCTTTAATTATATTGGTATCATCAAGTTAGGAAATCAAAAAAAAATAAAAAAATAAAAAAGAACATGACAAGCCACTTTCATGCATAGACATAAATGAAATCTAAACAAAATAGTGGAAAACAAATGAAAAACTGCTGAAAAAAAAAAGTGCATCATGACTACACTTGTTTTATCCCAGTAATTAAGGACTTAGTATTATAATTTAACATAGATTTATAGTATGATGCATTGAATCCATATAATCATCTCAGAAAACATAGATGGAAATTTTATAAAATCCAGAATCCATTGAAAATCTAAACATGCATATAACAACTGCAAGAAAAATCTTAGAAAACTACAAGTAGAAGAAATGTCCTCAACCTAGAATACAGTACTTTGCTAACTCACAGCATCCATTAGGTTTACTGCTGAGATACTGAGGCAGTTTGTTTTAGGGTTTTAAGCAAAATAAGGAGAATTGTTGCAATCCAGTAAGAGAGCCAGGCCTGGTGGCACCTAGAATTGTGGTGGCGGTAGGATCACATGTTCAAAGCCATCCTCTGTTACATAATGAGTTTGCAGATAGCCTGGGCTGCATGCAGTCCTGTCTCAAAAAGGAAACTAATCAGTAAGAGGAGGACAACCACTGCCAGTCTCCCGCCTCCCACACTCACCCCTTATCAATATTTGAAACACTAGGAACAGATATTTCAGAGAAGCATGAACGGCCTACAAATATAGGAAATATACCCAATCTTTTTGGTTCTGAGGAAATTGCAAATTGAAATCACAGTGCCATTTACTACCCACAGGCCTAGCAAATGTTAAAGTGTTGGGCAGTGACAAGGGTCAGAGAGAATGTGGTGTTTCAGGAGCTCTCCCACACAGCTGATGGGAAATTAGTGTAACTGCTTTGTAGAGCAAATGAGTTGGCAGTGGTTGCCAAAATTGATATGTACACAGCCATGGAAGCCAATAGTCCCAATCTTGGCCATCAAGCATCATGAAATGGAACTTAATAGCAACATTGTGAATAGTAGGACCAAATGGAAACAAATCAGTATTCATCAGCAGTGGAGTGACTATCTAAATTATAAGAAACTAAGCATAGAAGTATCATCAGACAATGAGAAAGATTTGTGAATTATAATTATATATACCCGCATAGATATATTACAGCAGTTCTGAATGAAAGAAGCAAGGTGCTGAACACATATGCACATACATCTGGCCTCTGTAGGTTTTAAACATTTCTTCACAATGTGTCATTATACACAACTGTGGACAAAAAAATAATAATAAAGCTAAGGAAATCATTAATACAGTCCAAGTCAGTGGCTACCAGGAGAAAAGGAGATATGTATGATGGGGTCAAGGGAGAACCTGAAAGGAACGTTCAAAGTGACCGTCATGTTGTTTTTCAGGCAGAATACTGGATAGATGAGTATGATAGCTTTTATAGTTTTATGGCTTTTAAAAGTATAGCACACATTTTATAGCCTCTTGAACTTATTATGTAACCAAGGATGACCTTGAACCTCTGATCCTCCTGCTCATACCTTCTGAGTGTTGGGATTATGGGAATGCCACCACATTTGGTTTATGTGGTACTGGGCATCAAAACTAGCGCTTTGTGCATGGTATACAAGCGTGCTGCTGCGGAGTCACATCCCTAGCTCCATGTCTGTTTTTGAGACTTGAAATTGGATGCTATCCTTTTTATTATTTGCAATAATGTATTGTGTTGGGGGGGCATGCATAGATTGCAGCACATATGTGGAGGTCAAATAATAACTGTGGGAATCAGTTCTCTCCTTCCACCATGTGGCTCTTGTGTATCCCATCAGGCTTGGTGGCAAGTACCTTTATCTGGCCTGCCCCAAAATTGGATATACTTTTTAAACCTTGATTTAAAGCAGTATTTTTAAGAATACCATAGAATACTGCTAAGATTATTAAGGATTACAAATGGAGTCACTTACTTCAGTAGTCAGGTAGTTAATTTAATGTTGTTTATTAAGCCTTTGATTTCATGGTTGTTGGTGTTCAGGATGTAGCTAAAGTAAATCTGTCTCATATAGATGTCATGAATTAATGGCCCAGGTGGTTCTTTGGCATAGCAACAAATCATGAAATTAAAATTAGTGGTAAAGGTAAATTAAGCTACTGTTTCCTGTTTCCATTGATTGTCTCCCACTTGTACTTCTCAAACACAAAACAAAAAAGAGTGAAAGTAAAGCTAGAAAATTGTGTTGAGTCACATGTTCTGTTCTAAGAAAAGGCTCTGCAAATGCTGAGATGACTAAGACATAGCTGGTCTCTTCAGAAGCAAGAGCCTAATAAAGACGGGGAAGGAATTAAACACTGTGATCTAACATGGTCAGGGTGAGAGTGGGCTTGTGCACAAGGTCATGGGCCACCTGGAGAGGCATCACTGACCCATGGAGCAGTGAGAAAGCCTTCTCAGAGGAAAGATACTTCACTTGGGAAGCAAGCAGGAGGCCTGTGTAATACTGGAGGGAAAGGATAGGCCTGGGAAAGGTGTGTGCCCAGATCTCTAGGCCTAAGGGACAGGACATGCATCTGCTGTGCTCCCAGGAGGTAGGAGATGAGAGAGATGCAAGCTGGGAATACACGTGCCCATGTGGATCACAACAGTGTTCCTTTAGCTCTTAGTGTATATGGATTATCAGCCTGTGAGAGCTACTAGGAGAAGGCCTTGCTCTCTAGGACCAGAGGTGAACAAGAGGGGAGAACATTATTGCTACATGTTGGTAAGGAGAAAGAAGTAGAGAGCCGCTGGGGGAAGTTTAGAATTCCTACTGTGTTTCACACTATGTCTTTTGAAGGAACAAGGTTAGCAGTAGACTTTTCTCAGAATAAAATGGCTTGAAGGGTTCATGGTTGCGAAGATATCCAAAATACAGTTTCTGAAGATACTGGTATTGTCTTTAACAAATATTGACTTTGCTTATATGGTCTTACGGGAAAACAGATATGTGTTTATGGGGTGTTAAAATACAGCAAGTGGAATGTAAAAGTTTAATAGTGGTGAATGCCAACATTTGAGGCTGAGGCAGCAAGATTGCAAGTTGAAGGCCAATCTGGGCTCCACAGTGGGTACTATTTAATATATAATAAGTGGGAATGCAATGTTGATGAAGCACATAGCCGCACACAAGCTATACTTTCTATTCCAAGTGTCACATTTGATAATAAGTTGTATAGACAGCAGATTTTAATATTCAAACTTATTTTTCATTAATATCCTGTTATTTCTCAGACAGCAGTGTTATTTAAAGGGAATTGGATGGACAGCATGCGGTGTATGTAAAGAGCCTCTGTGGGAATTTTCAGAGGCTATGGGTGTATATAGCTCAGTAGTATGAGACCCTGGGTTTACTTGCCTGCTTAAAAAAAAAAAAAAAAAAAAAAAAAAGCAAGAGGCAGGCTAAGTAAGGACTATAGAATAGAATATTCTGTTCACTAAAATTGTGAAATTTTATTCACTTTGTGTGTATTTACTATTTTAATGAGCAGTCGTGGGAATTGATGTGTCTGCTTTCTAGAGAAATTACTAGAATTCCAACTTTTTTTTTCACAAGTCTAATGTTCAATGCTTGTATATAGGTTCATACTTGTTTAAATCTGTTGGCACATACAGACCCTAAATGCCAAAATGTTCTGCTTTAGTTTTTTGTTGTTTTAAGGCAGAGACTTATGAGGTCCAGGCTAGCTCAGATTAACTGAGCAGCCATAATGACCTTGAACTCTTGCTCCTACTGCCTCCATCTTCTGAATGCTGGGATTACAGGCTTTCACCTCAATACCCTGTCTGTCTTGCTTTTATTTGGGAATATTTTAGTATTTGCTAATAACATGCACAATCCACGTGTTCTTTGCATTGGCTTAGCCTTTTTGTATGGTACCCTTCAAAAAAATTCCCCCAATAGGGAATTACCCTAATATCTTACCAGAAAGCTATTCTTACCAGAATATCTTGACCTGAAAGCCTCAAAAAAGGGGGAGGGGAAATTCCCAATATACATAGATATCCAGAAGAAACTTAGCATGTCTCTTAAGCCCTGTAGCCTGATAATGTGACTTTATGGTAGAAGGAAGGGAGGAACTGCAGGAATCAAGAAGCCACAGGAGACAGAAGAGCTCTGCTGTTTTTTTTCTGAAAGGCCCAGTCACACTGACTATAGTGAAATCTGATTTGTACTTGAAAAGGTCTCACTTCCTTGTTTTCTTCTTTGACACAGAAATCCCCTGCAAAGAAGCTGAGCCATGCAATTAGTAAATCTTTGGGCTGTGTACCCTCCAGAGAACCCCCACATCCTGTTTTTCCTGAGCAACCCGAGAAACCACTTGACCTTGCACACATAGTGTAAGTATATACCTGCATGGACTGTGCTGAAATGCGGCTTTCTGATGGGAACTCTAACTTCAAGTGCTGATTTCCTTAAACCATCATAAATACCTGCATGTACTACTCTGCATTCCTCAAGCCAAAATAGTACAACAGCCTCCAGAAACATGAGTACATCAAAGAACATATGTGGTTGATGTTTGTGTGTCCTTCCTTTTTTCATTGTAGTCGCCATTTCTTATTCTCTGGCAACGAAACCCTCAGGGACTTAGATATTCACATGGCAAGGGAATGAAAATCTGCTGGGTTTTATCTTTTCAAACTTAAGGACACAGAATGACAAAAGGCAATCCAGTACAATAGCTCATCATTATTCTTTAGTGTACTTTAAGTTGTGAAGCCGTTTTTTTCTACACAGGTCTTCAGTTCATATGAAATGGATCTTTGTTGTGAAGGGACCAGCTCCCCATTTCGGCAGCCATAACAGTTTGTCTGATCTTGTCTTCAAGGAACCAGCTTCCCTTTCGGCAGCCATAACGGTCGAACATGTGCTTCTATGACCTTGCCCTAGACACTAGAAAGTCAGATTCCTGTCTTGTGACAAGGAACCAATCAGAAGTTAGCTGGTGGCGCTATGCTTTACGACCCTGGGTGTGCTTTACAGACAAGTGCACAGCAATGAAGTAGAGAGCAGAGCAACCACCCTGGGAGGGCCTGTGGGCCATAACAACCAGTTGACCAATCAACACAGGGCAAGCCCTTCAAGCCTGGAGGCACACCAATCCTGAGCCTGTGCGTATCCCTAGACACTCCACTTATGCTGCCCTATAACATCTCTATGCAGCCCCTTCGAGGTGTCTTTGCTAGCCATTTGCCATGGCAGGTGGGTGAAAGACCCGAGTTAGCTCATTAAACAACAATAAAGCCTCATGCAGTTTGCAGTAAGCTTTTGAATCCGCCTGGTGATTGGGATAACCGAGGTCGTAGGCTGAAACCCCAGAGGCCTGAGTTTTCCTGGGGGGGGGGGGTGGTGGTCTAACAGTTGTATAGTGTGATGTTGAATTACACACACACACACACACACACACACACACACACACACACACCCCAGTGTGCATTTGAACAATAACTTGCTTCCAAAGTCATTTTTTTGCATAATAATTCATTTCCCTCGTGGCCTATTTTTAGTGCTATCATTTTAAAAATTAAAATCTCCATAGCTGAGGAGATGTAGTTCAGTGTTCACATAGCACGTATAGGCTCTGGGTTCAACCTCTGATACTGCATAAATAAGAAAAAAGTTGTTTCCAAATGTATACAGGCTGATTTCTGGGATCTTTATTCTGTTCTTTGTCCAAATTGGCTATCCCTTTGCCAAAATCACCCTATCTCAGTAACCATAGAGACAGTGATATTTTTTAGGACTATCCTCTCTATTCTTGTCCTTTCTTGTTTATTACAAATTTTGGGATCAGCTTATTGGATTCATCATGAAATTTTGTTCAGGTTTTTATTGATTTTTTAACCCAGAGATCAAATAGGAGAGAATTAGCTTTTTTATAACATTAAATTTTCTTTTTAAAAAATACTTTATTTAACTTTTTATTTTATGTGCATTAGTGTAAGGATACCAGATCCCTGGGAACTGGAATTACAGACAGGTGTGAGCTGCCATGTAGGTGCTGGGAATAGAACCCTGGTTCTCTGGAAGAGCAGCCACTGCTCTTAACCACTGAGCCATCCCTCCAGCCCAACATTAAATTTTCTATTGGGCAAACATGGTCACCTTACATTCACTTAAATGCCTTTTTATGCCTTTAAGTAAAGTTTTATGATTTTGATCTAGAAAAGGTGTTATATATGTTAGTTTCTTTGTTGAGTTTTTGGGGTGGGTGTTTCTTTGAGGGAGAAAGCATCTCAGTATATAGTTCAGCCTGACCATAAGCCCTCTCTTAGCCCAGGCTAGCCTTAGTCTTCTAAGTGTGGGATTGGAGTGCCCCACTTGACTAGATTGATTCCTGAGAACTCTACATATTTTGTTGCAGTTACTAATAGCATCTTTTTTCTTACAAAATTCTCAAGGCATATTTAGTACTTCATTAAATACTTTAGGTGTACAGTTCCTATGAATTTGGGAAATATATTGTCATGCCAGTAGGCTCTGTTTTGAATTATGTTTCTTAGCAGTTGTTTGCAGTATATGGTATATAGAAAATATTGATGGCTTTTGTATTTAAATATACTTTGAACTTAGATTTCTTAACTTGCTCATTGCTTCTGATAATTTCTATCCAGTTTTTTAGAGTTTTCTGTAAATAATTTTATAATCTACAAATGATGGCTTTGTTTCTTTTCCTTTTTAGACTATTTATTTATTTATTTATTTACTAATTATTTATGCTTTTGGCTGGGGGCACGGCAAAAGGACTTACTATGATGAATAGAAACCGCCATACAATTCTGAGTTTATAGAAAGGGTGTAATAAGTGTTTGTTGGTTGGTTTGTTTATTCTCTGTGTAGCCCTGGCTGTCCTGGAGCTCCCTCTGTAGAGCAGGCTGGCCTGGAACTAACAGAGATCCACCTACCTTTGCCTCCCTGAGTGCTGGAGTTAAAGCCGTGTGCCACCACTGCCAGGCACAATAGGCCTTGTATTATAGTAATCTCAAAGAGAAGGCTTGCAGCTGTACTTAACAGAGATGATGTAGATTTTACAGATTTAATCAGGTTAATCAGTTTTTCTGTTTCCAAAGAGTGCTTCATTTTGGTGATGAACAAATGCCTAATTGTATCAGAGTTTTCTATTTTGAGATGATTGTATGATTTTCTTTTTCCCATTAATTAATGTTGTGACTTACAATAGCTGGGGGGTAACTTTGTGTTTGTGATGCTAGGGATTAAACCCAGAGCTTCCCACACATGAGACAAGTGCTCTACCACTGGGCTACATTCCCAGCCCTATTTTTAAAAAAATCACTCTTACATTCCTGGAACCAACCTAAGTTGACTATCCAAAGTGCAATTGAATTTTGTCTGGTAATATTTTGTTAGGTTTTTGCACTGTTTATAAGTGAATCTGGACTTCAGTTTTCCTTGTTTTTTTTCCCCTCTTTTTTTTTAATAACTACAAAAGGTTTTATTTTAAGACAAAACAATTCGAATTACTATATAGCCAGACTTCATAGTGTTTGTTCATCTAAAAAATATTTTTGAATGGTAATATGTACATGCCTTATCAGTGTGTATGTATGGGAACACATATATGTCATATGTCAATGTTGAATGTCTTTCTTAGCTGAGTTCTACTTTATTAGGTTTTAACTAATAAAGTTAGTGAGACTCAGGTCTCTCATCCATTTAGCTAGACTAACTAGAGTGTAAGCTTCAGTGACCCACCTATATCTTCCCCTGTCTCCACCGCCTCTGGAGTTAGATGTAGGTTGTCACACTCAGCTTTTGATGTGGGTACTGGAGATCCAAGCACAGGTTCTCATGAGTACATAGCAAGTGATTTACCAACTGGGACATTTCCCTCGCCTCTCAGTGGGCTTTATAAGAGAAAAATTGAGCTGGAGAGATGGCACGGTTGGTAAAGTTCTTACTGTGCAAGCATGTGGACCTGCGTTTATGCTCCAGAACCATGTTAAAACACTGAGCATCTTGAGGCACACTTGTAATCCTAGTGCCTGGACAGTCAAGACACAAGACAGGTGGATCACTAACCAGTCAGCCTCACCTAATTGGCAAGCCCCAGCCCTAGTGAGAGACCCTGTCTCAAAAAAGAATAATACCCAGTGTTGGACTCTGACCTCTGCATGAACATAAACACATACACAAACACACACTCAAATAATAATTATGGTAACAATTTAAAAAATTGCTCAGATATATCAGCTAAAACTGGAACTATTGAAGAACAGCCAAAATAGCTCAGCAGGTAAAGGCATTGCCACTAAGCCTGACAACCTGAATTGGATTTCTGGGTCTAACATGGTGGAAACAGAGAACCAGGTCTTGCAAGTTGTTTTTTGACCTCCACATACATGACTTGTACACATGCTTCTCTCTTTCCCTGTTTTCCCCACAACACAAATAGACATGGTTTTGTGTCTGCACTTACGTGGAAATGCATGACAGATATGATAATAAGACAATGTAAGACATGTAGACTTTAAGACCTCTTCTGGCTGGGTGGTGGCGGCCCACACTTTTATTCCCAGCACTACGAAGGCAGAGGCAGGTGGGTCTCTGTGAGTTCAAGGCCAGCCTGGTCTATACAGTGAGTTCCAGGATAGCTAGGGCTACACAGAGAGACCCTGCCTTTAAAAAACAAACAAAAAAGACTTCTGTCCATTCTAATGCACTCTTGCTCAGCTTTCTAGAATTAAAATAATTAGTAGGTGATTTTACAAAGAATGGTAGTATCAGGGAAAACTTCCAAAAAGTCTAAAAGAAATTCATAGTTGTAGTGGATTGGTGTTCTCAGAAGCCAGATTTCACAGACACTAAATATAGTCAAGCATGTTTGCAGTCCCATGGAAACACAGTGGAGGCTGGTGTTATTCATGATGCCTGGGAACTCCTGCCCCCTCACCTCTCCATCTCCATCAGCCTCCTGCCTCATTTGTTGTAGCTCCTCATCAGTCACATTCTTGCTGAATTCAGCGTGCACTTCAGGTTCATGAATGGAGTCATCCCAGTGTCATCATCATTGGAGCAGGTGACTTCAAAAAGTCACCAAAGCCCTCTTTTCCTGTCCTTTATTAATTTTACTTATTATTTGCTCAACTTCTTTCCTGGGTTCAAAGTCCAAGGATGTCATCCACATCTTTAGTGCACCTGAAACTAGAGTTACAGATGGTTGTGAGCCACTATGTGGGTATTGAGAATCAAGCCCAGGTCCTCTGCAAGAGCAGCAAGTGCTCTTAACCACTGAACCATCTCTCCAGCCCTGTTCACTGAACCCTGCCCTCTTCCTAATGTGGCCATTTGAATTAATCTGCCTTCTCTGCTTTTCACC